GAGATGACCCCCCCCCCCTTTAGCTGCCCAATGTAAAGGCGTCCGTTTGTCAGTACTAGAATACGCATTTGGATCTGTACCATTTTCTAACAAAAGTCTAACCATCTCGACACTCCCACTAAGACATGCTGCGTGGATTGGTGTTCTGTTGTCTTCCCCGGTTACTTTAACATTGACATCAGCACCTCTGTCAAGCAGTGTTATTGCCAACACACAATTTCCTACACGAGCAGCATTTATTAATGGCGTAATTCCTTCTGCGTTGGGAATATTAACAGACATTCCAAGATCAAGAATCCACCTCAGGACAGTCACACTATCGCAGGTTGAAGCAACATGAATCAGATAATCCCCTTTCTTATTGGCGGTTGGCGCTAGGATATTTCCTCCATAATATACCAATATCTTCGGAAAATCTACTCCATCTGTCATTGATACTAAGTAAAGTGCAGTCAAGTTTTCCTTGGTCTCAGCATGCAGATCTGCTGACAGTACGTCTTTTACGTGCTGCATAATGGAGTGGAGAGAGAAGATTTCTATCTTTAGAATTAACGTCAGCACCTCGGATTATTAGCAGCAAAGCCACATTTCGACTGTCACAGATTGTTACGTAATGAAGAGGGGTCAAACCATCTTTGTCTTTAACGTTCGTTGATTCTTCGGATTTAATTAACCAGGCTGCAGCATCTTCAGAGTCATATTTCGCAGCTGTGATGATGAGAAGTTCGCAATCATTTGTTTCGTTACGCGTTTTCGAATCCCCTTCAAAATTCAGTAACATTTTGAGGCAGTCTACATTATTTTTTCTCGTTGCATAATGCATAGGGGTGCAGATCTCTAGCATTTATATCAGCACCAAAATATAGTAACATCTGTATTACACGAAGATTTCCGTTGGAAGCTGCTACGTGGAGAGCCGTGTTTTGTTCCGAGATAATATGTCTGTCCACCTGCCAAAGAAATTCGTCTACAAGTAAATACAGACAAGGAGAGAAAGCTAATCGTACTGTGTTCTGCAGAAATTATTTTTATTCCTCTTACCTCGTTAAGTATTTATAGCACCGAAAAACGTTTGAAATAAAATTGTAGATCTTAATACCATCTATATTTTATGTAATGTACATGTTTGCTGCCTAGAAAGAAAGAACAAAATAATTGAAAATGATATTATATATTTCCTTTTAAACACGAAAATAACAAGAGATTTTTATTATTATTATTAGTGTTCTGTCTGACGACAGGTCCATATGAACAGGATCCTTCCATCCTTTTCTCGGACTGGGACCTGTTCATATACGTTCTTGGCAGATGATCCAGAAGTGGTTTGCCATTGCCTTCTTCTGTGTGTGAACAAGAGATTAGGAAGAATTAAAAGTAAGAACTACAGTGGCCTGTTAGGTAAACGGGATGTAAAAATTACCAATTTTGGTCTCTTATCAGTTTTACACAATTTCAAAAGAAGTCACCCCTTACCACAAAAATATGAATACAATTCAGAATATAATCATACAGTCCAGTTGATAATTTACAACTAAAAGTAGCAAAAATGTCCTGTGTATCTGCATGCTAACCTAACTGGAGATACGCTGAACAGATTTTCACGACATTTAATAATGCAGAATTTACTTACTGACAGTATTGACAGATGCCGAATTTAGTTAAACAATAGAACAGGACACCATAGCGCGCATCTCACGCGTTGGTAATTCGTGAAACGTTTAACGCAGTAAAACAAGTCTCGAATAAATTTGTAAGGAAAAGTGCAAGACATGTTTTATGTCCAATATAATTTTACTGTTCTCCTAATAAGTGGCTACACAAAAAGGGCCTTCATGCTATGTCGTCTCATGGCACAAGGGAGGCTGGACTCTTTTTATCAAATATTGCATTGGAGATCCTTGCGTTTTTTATAGAACACAGAAGTTATCATTCTCTAATTGAAAATCTAGAGCGAATAACAGACCAAACGTGCCAGAATTGCTACGATAAACGGAATTTACTAACTTGTTACATCGTTTCCGCGATTTCTCAATGTCCTATCCAGCACAAAAATTCGTAATAGACTGTGTTTGTTTCCTGTCCGTTTATTTATTATTCATAACCTCCAATGCAATGGGGTGTGATGCAGACGGTTAGATCTCACTCAGGACAGGTTCTACTGTCGGGGTTTTGTAAATACAGTAAAGAACGGCTTGATTGCTTAAAGGCCGGCTGATTAAGCGTTTCAGGTACGCACTGTACCATAGAACTTATTTCATTTTTCACTTGATCTAACGTAATTTTAGTAGTTGGTAACTCATTTTTGTTCTTCTATTATATACATTTTGAAGAAAAGAGTTATGATGTTCAGTAATTTTTAATTTCGCCCGCAGGGTGTATATGTGTCTTTAATTAGAGTTGTTTCCCTGCTTTAACGGACTAATCTATGTAATGGAGACGAAGCGTGTTTTCTAGTTTGCAGAAACAAAATCCTTTAATAACTATTAAATGAGCGGAAAAAGACAGTTTATGTGTTTGCTTAGTTCAAAAAATACCATAACGTAACGCAATATATTATGACCAAAATAAATTTTAGTATCGATAACAACAAAGGTAAGCATAACATAACACAGCGTAACAAAGCAAATAATTAATATAATACAACAGAACACAAAACGATACAATACAAAACAAATTATTAATGTTTTAGTTAAGGGCAATGTTAAGCAGGTGTTCTGCTGATGTTACTGCAAAGATTTTAGTTATTACTATATTTATTATTATTATAAAAATTTAACCAAGACTTGTGATTCTAAATAAGAGGGAGTAGCTCGTAAAATTTACTGTTAGCACGCTCTGAAATTATGCTGCCCCTTATAAATAAAGTCCTTTAGTAAAAATGGGCGGATTTAAATGCAAACATGCTCACAGTGCCCTCTTACTTTCAGTATTTTCAACGATTCTAGCGAAAGCTGCAGTGTCTTTGATATACCTGTCTTGACCGCACACAGGCATCGTTTTGACGTAAGTAACTATTTTTGTGTGTTACGTAGGACTAAGGCAACACACATTTGCACATGAATGTGTACAGAGAAAAGACAGGAAATCTACGTATAATCCTCAAACTAATCATCTAAAATAATAATATAATAAGATTATCATTAAAACAATTTTCAATGATAGTGTAGTTGCGTCATATTGTGATTTATTAAATTAAAATTAAATTATTTGGTTATTCCGTCAAATCACAATGTATTTAAAATAAGATAATTAAAATAATTAAAATATCATTCTGTGTTCCATATCGAATATCCAATTGTAAATCGAGTATTCGATATGGAACACAGAATGATATTTTAATTATTTTAATTATCTTATTTTAAATACATTGTGATTTGACGGAATAACCAAATAATTTAATTTTAATTTTCAATGAATATACTTAGCAACAAACTTGAAGTATTTAGTGCTGTGCACAAGTTTTGTACATAAATAAATTTATAAATATTCTTACTGTGTGCACTTGATACACAATGTGCCCATCACTCAAACCCATGTGTATTAGAAAGTAGATGGAATGTGATTATGATGTTGATGGTGATGATAATATTAAGACTAGCACTGAATGTCAGTAGTGGTCCTCCTGGCCCAGTTATTTTTCGTACGGAAGACGCATGACAATTACGATAATAATTGCAACACTAAAAAAACATCTGTTGATAAAGAAACAAATAATTTATAAAAAATTACTCACAATAAACAGGTTTAGAGAAATTTCACTATTCAAAATTTTAAAGTGTTGTAAATTAATTTTAAAACAGTCATTCGGTCAGACTTTCTGTTACTACGAAAACTGCAATGGAATTCTGTATTCATACATTACCTTAAGATATTTAGTAAGGTCACTCAGAGAAGATCAGTAAATAAAATAACAAAGAATCTTTAATGTTAAAGGAATCGACCTTATTTTACATCGTTTTGTTCCAACTTCCAATCGTTGCGGGCCATTTTCTGAAACAAAAAATGAATTATCGATATGAAGAAAAATTTGTAATGCTTTCGTTAGCATTGCTTCTTATTTGGGAAGCCCCTCGGAATCATTTCGTGGTTGTCCTTAGTTTCACTATATAACGGTAGCAACTTCCTTCTTGTACATCATGACTTGAAATAACTCACCATTATCCTACCACTCAAAGCTACGTAATTTACAGAGCTTAGAAACAATAGGTGAAGACAGAAATATATTACTGAGATTTTAATTTTTTACGGATATAAAAATATTGATTTCGATTTTCTGGGTTGTGATGCTTTGTAGTAACCCTGTTGTACGACCTTACAATCATGTCGGAAGAATGTAAACCCTAAAGATGGAGGCCATATAAAACCTAAAACGATACTACTGTATAAAATGTAATATTTAAGTATTTCCACGAGTAATTTTATGAAATAATTTATTCTCTTAGTGTACCTGCTACATTACATGTAGTTTTTATTGTCATAAGTCACGAAGACTTAGCTTTGATACCTTAGAGACGACGGGACACGTTTCTTTCACATACCTTCTCAAATTCCAAATAAGTTCATATATTAAGTGCAATTGCTTCTATGCGAGACGATGAAAAGGCCAAGTATTTTTGAAGGACAATAACAAATTATAAAAGTCAGATGTTTGTTATTTCAGGTATAACTGTCTAACGTCATCAAGTGTTCTTCATAATCACAAAAAGGTGTTGCAGGATGGAGGATTCAGAGAACCCAGTACCAGTAAATATACACGAAGCTGCATTTTATGGCGACCTTAACATGGCCACTCTATTTGTAGAGGAAGGAAGCAATATCAACGGTTATGATGAAGTTGGATTCACTGCCCTACACTACGCAGTAGTGAAAGAGAACCTGGACATGATTGTACACTTAGTAACACTGGGAGCTGAAGTTAATGCTATAACCAGCTTCAAGAATCAAACTCCTGCTCATTGGGCAGCGCGACTCGGAAAACCGTTAATTCTGCATATGTTGTTCAGACTTGGAGCCTCTTTCAGTGTGCAAGATAACACACCGCTGGGAAAAACGCCACTCCATACTGCTGTCAAATATGATCATGAGGAAGTAATTATTTGGATGTTTCAAATGGGCTTGTCGATGAATATCACGGATCGTGAAGGAGGGACACCACTGTTCTATGCTATATACTATGAGTATACACATTTGGTGCAGTTGCTTATAGATCAAGGAACAGATGTCAATACAAGATACACTGGTCTTAATAATCTCACACCACTTCACATGGCAATTACAGGAGAAAACATGGATATTATCAGAATTTTGCTGAGAAACGGGGCAAATATGTATATTCCTTGCACCGGCCTTCACGAAACACCAGTTCACTGCGCAGCGAAAAAAGGCGAACTCGACATTTTGGAACTCCTGCATGAATTTGGCTGCATTTTTTCAGTGCAAAAAGATGACAGACACGGTAACCGCCCTATTCATGTGGCTGCTAAGAAAGGCCACCTAGCAGTAGTCGCGTGGCTGGTCAGTAAGGGTGAATCCGTGAACTGTACAAACAACAGAGGATACACTCCACTGCACAAGGCCGTGTCTTCCGGTCAGCTTGGTATAGCATCGTACCTGCTTCAGGAAGGATCTCAGGTTTATGCTCGAACCAACTACCCAGAACTCTATTCACCTCTGAATATAGCAACGCGGTGTGGCAATTTAGATATGATAGACTTATTAATACATTATGGCGCTAATGTTAATGCCGAGAAACAGACTAATGGTTACACAGCTTTGCATCATGCAGTCAAAGCAGACAATTTGGAATGTTTGAAGTGCCTGAAGAAAAATGGGGGTAATATAATGGTCCATATGGGAAGTGAACAAGAACCACTGATTACAACTGCTATTAGAAATGACTCAGAATGCGTGATTCGATGGTTACTTGAAACTGAAATATCTGTGAACGTCAAGCTGAGGGATGGTATGACCCCTCTTCATCAAGCTGCGGACTATGGAAAAGAAAAGATGGCACTGATTTTGATTAAAAGAGGAGCAAATATCAACTGCAGGGATGACCGCATTTCGACTCCTCTACATTATGCTGTAGTTCATGGAAACGTGTCTGTGACTCAACTTTTGATATCCCGGGGAGCAGACATAGAGGCCGAGAATGATTTTGGGCAGAATTCACTTCATTTAGCAGCAGGTAATAGGGAACCGCACTGTTTGCAGATTTTGGTTCTTGGTGGAGGTGATATAATGTCACGTAGTAATCACGGTAATCGTGACTTCCTTATTCACACTGCAGTAATGAACGGACGTGTGAACATTGTTCGTTGGTTGATTGACCGTGGAATGCCGGTAGATGTACGTAATAGTATGGGAGTCACACCCTTGTTAGCTGCATCAAAAGCAGATAATTATAATATCGCCAGATTGCTGGTTAATAAAGGCGCGGATGTGAATGTTCGTTATGACCCCTGGGGGAAGTGTACCCCTCTACATTTAGCGTGTGCTAGTGGAAACCGAGCACTGGTACAACTTCTTATAGAAAATGGTGCGGATGTTAACGCACGTGCTATTGTAGATAGTCGAACGCCATTGCACTGGGCAGTTTATTATCAACATAATGTTATAGTTCACCTACTCATTCGTTCCGGTGCAGACCCCTATATTGAGGATTCGCAAGGATATACAGCTGCGGGTTTAGCAGCTTATGAAGGCCATAATAGTATTTATGAATTCCTCAAGAACACGTTAGGTGAAATTATCTCACTGTTTTAATGTGTAATAGTTATTATTTTTGAATGTAGGTGTTCATTTTATATGCGAAATTACTGATGGTTCAATGAGTTGAATATTTGTCCAGATGCAGTTTTTATAATATTTAACAATTCTTTTTACCTACAATTAAAAACATGTTTGTTTTCGAGTTTTACTGGGATTTCTATAAAATAAGTCACATTTTGGGAATTGAAAATTGTACATGAACACATTTTAAATTATTTATTGTGATCACAGACATTCTTGCTTTGATTATTTATTGGAAATGATGCACAAATTCTGTAAAGCAAGCCTGAAGTTATGAATGGCATATTATGTGTTGCATACTTCCTACAAATATTACTTGTTTAAAATATTAGCAGGCTTGAAGGCTTTTTGAAACAGGTTGATATTTTATTAAAACTCAAAATTGTGCATAGTATATAAATGTTATTTTAAAAGTGAAGAAGTAATAATGAAAAGTTGTATATCTTGGAACTGATAAAAATTCCCATCAAAATATGATTTTGAAGATACCATGTTATTTATTCTGTATTGCGTATATTCACCACGTTTTAGCTATAGACCAGCTTTGAAGCATAGAGTGGTTGTGTCTGCTGGAAACAATTTGTACAAAATGAAATTCCGAGGACACCGTATTCTTGCATACTATGTAGTATATAATTGTAAGTGTTCATATCATGTAATAGTTAATTTCCTTTTATATTTCAATATGATACATATTGCATGTTTCATGAATATTATTAATAAATGTACTGCATATCCTCAAATTCCTTATTAGTTTTCTTGTATTAAAATTCTAGTTATGTATAACGTGCTGAAACATAGTATATGTGAATATGTAAAAGTAATGTGTGTAGCCTACCACAAGAAATTATTTTTTATCTACTCCATTGTTTACTATTCCTACAGACACGCACGCACGCATACACACACATATTAGTATCTATCAATATTTAAGTACGTACTATCGTGGTAAATATATTTAACAATATATATAAACATTATGGTTTTCTATTATAACTAACATCGCGGCCGAGTAGTTATATAACTCGAGCGTCGTATTCAGGCGATTCGGGGTTCAAACCCGTGTCCGGAGTTCTTCGTGGTTTTCCCCAGTCCGTCCAGTAAATGGCGGAAAACGTATCTGAAATGTTGCCTTAAAATGCGTGATCGAATGACTTAAAATGTCCTTATAGGTACAGGAGTTCACGATTGACCCAATGGGCTTGGCGTTACATACACCGGACCTATACCCCTTGGATTTTTACCTGTGGTGTCAAACTTGAAGTCCCTGGTGTATGCAATGCCATTTAACACACAGCAGGCGATATGGCGACATGTGTGGGTTGCTTGTGTCAAGGTAAAAGAAGGCCCTGGTGCGTTCGAGTGAGTTCGTCGTGCTCAGGCATGTGTGGAGGTGGAGAGATCGAATTTTGAACACCTCTCGCAAAATCGCGAATTAGATACATCGTAATAAACACTTTGTAACAGGAATGCGTGTTATCCGTTTAGTTACAATATCTAGTAGGTAAGGTTCGAATCCCACTCAAGCCATGGATGATTGTCCGCGTTGTCCTGTCCTGTGTACAGGTAGAGGCCTTGCGACTGGCCGATCCCTCGTCCAAGGAGTCCTACCGAATGTCTATAGATCGAGCCAACGAAAAGTTGGGACCCGCAGTGCTCAGGCACTTGAAGAACGGGTCGTTCCCAGTAGGTAAGGAAGCACTTCCGACACCATGTTCACAGAAACTTTTTATTGTTTTGGTTCCCAGAACATGCCCTTAAATTTTCCAAACATAATTTTGACTCGCCCTGTATTGGAACGATTTAAGCAGAAAATTAAATAATCCCGATAATTCTCAGTATAGACAACCAGTAACAAACTCCATAAAATTAATCTTAATAACTTCGGATACACCGAAAAACACGTGTGACGTGACAATAACGCAACAATTTATCGAGCCTAAATTTATGGGTGTGGTGAATAAAACTCGAGGAAAACTAGCAGTGTAGGGCAGGTATCGTCAACAATACGTATACAATCATTTTATTTTCAAGAACTTGCGGTAACATTTGCGTAAGCAGCTGAGAGAGATTGTGGTCAACACGTACACGTAAGGTTTCTTTTACATTTAGATAAGAATAAGGGAAATAGCTTGAATTATATTATCCTAGTAACCCTCGTCCAAAATCTTCAGTGACCCTGGACTACCAGTGGCGTGATAATGAAGCTCATCAACCATGAATCTAACTACTTTTAGTGCCTTGCTCTTGCGACAACTTCTCCGTCAAGTGGAGATTTCCGTCTTCTGGGTTGTTGCGCTGTGTAGTCTGGTCGATATTTACCAACGTTTCAGAAGTCATACTGCTTCCGTCATCAGGGCGATTCTGAGTATGAACATTTCTGTCTTCTGGGTTGTTGCGCTGTGTAGTCTGGTCGATGTTAACCAACGTTTCAGAGGTCATACTGCCTCCGTCATCAGGGCGATTCTGAGTATGAACACTTCTGTCTTCTGGGTTGTTGCGCTGTGTAGTCTGGTCGATGTTAACCAACGTTTCAGAGGTCATACTGCCTCCGTCATCAGGGCGATTCTGAGTATGAACATTTCTGTCTTCTGGGTTGTTGCGCTGTGTAGTCTGGTCGATGTTAACCAACGTTTCAGAGGTCATACTGCTTCCGTCATCAGGGCGATTCTGAGTATGAACATTTCTGTCTTCTGGGTTGTTGCGCTGTGTAGTCTGGTCGATGTTAACCAACGTTTCAGAGGCCATACTGCCTCCGTCATCAGGGCGATGAGTTCATTCAGTGAGGAACCAAGTATGTTCTCGGATATATTCTGGCCACACCTGACGTGTGACAAAGAAATCGCATACTGTCCGATACAATGAGATATTGTAAACCTACTTGCCGTAAAGTTCTGTTAGTGCATTTCTTAAAGCTCGCTATCAAAACTACGTGGTAATTCGGCTTTGCAAACTTTAAAGTCAAGAAGTCTAAAACAAACTCCTCCAACATGTATCTACCTGAAGGTCAGAAAACGGGCCCGAATTAGGAACCGAGGTTATGGTACAGTGGTAACTGGTCGTGTCTTATTGCACACCTCAGAGGTGGTTTTCAGAACAGTCGAAACAGCTGGCACAAAACGGATACTTTCGTTTTATTGGCTCGAATAATGAACGACAGAAAATAAATAGTCGGAGAGAACGTTAAAGAAATTAATAAGATTTATTGACAGTTTCTGTTTACATTTCACACATACTCAGACTGCACGGTCATTTACAAACATTTACAACCATTTATACAGAGAGATACAGTTCAGTAAAGTAATTATGAAATTACATTTTTATGCATTGTACAGAAATAAAGCATACGTTTAAATCAGAAATATGGAAGGGACTGATAAAATAATTTAGTGAATTATATTTGGGCGTATAATTCGTCTCATGGCTCATAGATCTAATTTAAAAACAAACAAAAAACTGTTGAATTTAGAGGCACTTTTTACAAAATGAATACTAAATCCAAATAATTTAGCACATGTTTCCTAAACAATATTTTTACTAAAAACTTTGCAAAAAATTTAGGCATAACATCTTAATTAAACATAAACTGTACTAAACTGTCTCTCGCGCAAACGGATCCACGACTCACTCGCTGAACCGAGATGCTGATATGGACAGCACATTGTTTATTCTTCTTCGCCCGCTCTGATAAACGATTTAAACCATTAATGCCTGAAAACGTAATGCCACCATACCACCACGAGAAGCAAACATTATTTTGCCTCTTAACTTACACTGGAGTAGCTCTCCTTAGCAAACAATTACAGTAAAAATAGTAGCGTAAATAGAATGAAGATAAGAGATCGGAGAATATGAGCGTTTCAAAAAGTAAATTCTTATAGTTACCTAATTTAGAATTGTTTTAAGTTATTTTTAATTCCCGAGCAATTCTAGCCATCTGATGAACTATCATTGGCAAGTTTTAACTCAGATTGCTATTCAATGTTGTTGCACGCTTACATGGGGTACCAGCTCACCTGAACTCTTTGCGATAAAAATCGAATGGAAAACTATTGTATGTTTGAGTCTTGATGGTATAGGCATTATAAACGTTATCAGAAGTGATATATACTTATTCTCAAAAATATCTCTTGACAGAAGACAAATCATGTTAATTTTACATCCTGTTCCGACTACGATGAATATTTCTTTTTAAAAAATCCACATAAAATGCATTTTAAATATGTTAAATGGTACAAAAACTGAGATACGATGGCACATCAGCAAGTTTAACGCCTTGATATCTGTATACTGTGTTCAAAAAGTATTGGGCTGATGAACCGCCTCCCTTATTTCTGCATTTTAAAATAGCTTGGGTATCTAACTTTCCACCAAACATGCATATTACGTCCAAAATTCGAAAATAACACTAAAAAAATGTATAATATTTGAGGTTCGTAATTACACTTGAACACCAAGATCCTGTAACATATTCTGGCGACCGAGAGACCGCGCCAAGTTCATAGCAGTGTGTCCATCGATGGTACGTAGATTTCGGTCTGCTCCTCGATCGAGAAGCAACCTCAATGAAAGTACGTCGTTCGTAAAAACAGCCAAATGCAGAGGAGTGTACTGTTCGGGAAGCACCCTCGCGTTCACGTCTGCATTAGCGTCCAACAAGCACCTGACCACTCCAACATGTTTGTTTGTGATTGCAGCGTGCAGTGGCGTTTTACAATCGAGAGATTGTTCAGAACCGTTCACAGATGCACCTCTGGCTAGCAGCGTCGAAACCACTACCACTGACCCTCCTACAGCTGCATTATACAATACAGTTCTGCCAAATGCATTGTATATATCCACGTTCATCCTTCCTAGATAAAACAAAACAGCCTTAGCATGTCCGCCTAAAGCAGCCAGGTGGAAGGGATAATCCATATTCTCATCTTCCGTTCGCCTGAACAAATGTATGGGATTAGTGGCAAACTTATCCAAGAACTTGTAATTCCCTCTCCATGCAGCAGTGTGTACAGGAGTCATTCCCATGTTATTTACAATTCCAAGGTCCATTGCCAATGCAGAAAATCTGTCCAGTGTAGTCGAATCAATAACTCGGCTTAGGAAGTGAAGAACTGTTTCCCCATTATAGGCTTGGATATTAACACTTGCCCTGCGAGTAAGCAATAACCTGATAAAGCGATGCAATCTAATGCTAACAGCATGATGTAAAGCAGTGAATCCTTTGTCATCCGCAGCGTCAACATGTGCTCCGCAATCTAGTAAATATTTTGCAATACCATAACATTTTTTCGTTGTAGCCATGACCAACAAAGGCTCGACATGATCTGCCCTCTGATGGATAGATAGATCGCCTTTACATTCGTAAAGCGTTTCTAAGTACTCATAAGAGTTATGTAAAATTGCGAAATGCATGGGACTGTAATGTGTGTCCGACGTCAAACTGTTTACATTAGCACCAGACGCTATTAATATGTCCGCTATATCGCCTTTGTTATGATACAATGCAACATGAAGCGGAGTCCAGTTGCCTTTTGCTGAGAGTACATCAACTTCAATGTAACCAGAATTAATTATGAATGGAACCATTCTACGTTTATCATGCTTCGCAGCTATGTGCAGAGGTGTGTATCCAGCATTATTGTACAACAGAGCTGGAGTGGCTCTATTGGCGACCAAGAAATTTATCATCCAAAGATTACCAGAAAGGGCTGCGAAGTGTACTGGGTAGTCACCATCTCCCGTCGGTTTACTTGCTTCAATTGCGTTCTCGGTTAATAAACTAAGCATATTCATGGTACCCATCTGTGCAGCCCAGTGCACTGGGCTGCACTGATCAAACTTGCTCCAAATGGACACGTCTGCTCCTCGTGCTTTTAACATTGCCGCAATTTCGTATTTGAGGTCTTTCACAGCTAAATGGAGCGCTGTAAAACCGTACTCATCGCTGCTCACGAAGTTGACATTTGCCCCTGCGTCCAAAAGAAGCCGTATCATACCAGTATCACCTTTGTCTACAGCACACATCAATGGGGTTTTTCCTTCTGAAACAGAGTCAGCAGAGACTCCGAACCCTAAAAGCCAGCGAACTACGTCTTCATGTTTGTTCATTACAGCTACATGAATTGGAGTTAGTCCATCCTCGTCCCCAGTCTTGAGATTGAGGTCAGCACCCGCACGCAACAAAATCAGCATACGATCCACATTTCCCGTTTCTGCCATAAGGTGAATAGGTGCAGGCGTGCCATCCTTCCGGGTGTTCACATTCGGAGGTGGACTTAAACTTACCAGGTACTTAATCATTAAATTGTCTTCCATCTGGATGGCGTAATGTAGAGGAGTCAATCCTGCTGGGTTTAGACCGTCAACTATTTGTCCCGCCAGGATCTGGGCATCTGCCATTTCCATGTTTCTTTCTATCACTGCATCGTGCAGTCCGTACCGTCTTACCTCCTCCATGTGTGTCGGTCTGACAAAGGTGTAATATATATGTGATGAAATTCTTGACCTGGAATAACAAAGTGGAATGCTTCTCATCGATGTATACAATGCATGTATTAATACTTCTTGTCAAACTCGAGCAAACTCTTTCAATATGTACCTTCTTCTATGCTAATTCCAACACCAGTCCTAACTACATACTATTTTTATTTTGTTGCTTTAAAATGTGTATTAAATAGTTTCATAAAAACATTTTCATTAGAAATATCAGTTGCCTAGAAGTGCGGTAAATACAAATACTTTGCTTCCTCAGTTAGGTTCTTAAATAATCTGCTTAGGCAAAATTCAACGTGTGCTTTCTGATAGGTCAGAATTGTAAGAGAAAATTAAATGCTAGCAAAAATTGTATTCCTACGATAACCCAGAATCTCCTTACAAACCAACACCTATATATAGATGAAATATTTACACGGCACTGTTATTATTAAATCGGGCTTAGTGAGGATTATATGTGGAGTGGCCAATCATGCAGAAGGTACAGGGGATTTATGATTTCATAATTACGAGGTTCATATTCTGTAATTTTCACCAGTTACTCTTGGTGTGATAAAATCATGAAAGGTTTGGTGGATGGGATGTGGCACGCGTGGAAGAAATGAGTATGATACATTTTAAACCTGATGGGAGGATACTTCTTGAGAAACCTAACCGTGGAAGAGAGGAAAATTACTACGTCACAGTAATATGCGAGGGTGCGAAATACATTCATCTGGCTCAGTTTAGACAGCAGAGACGGGCTCTTATATGCATTACAATCAAAGTTATATCTCGAAACAAGCAAGAGAAAACGTCTTGACTACCTCTTTCAGTATTTTTTTTTAGTGTTCTGTCTGACGACAGGTCTATATGAACAGGATCCTTCCATCCTTTTCTCGGACTGGGACCTGTTCATATACGTTCTTGGCAGATGATCCAGAAGTGGTTTGCCATTGCCTTCTTCTGTGTGTGAATGGAGTAATTGTTGGGATGCCACGGAGAAACCGGGTATTACGTTATCAAAATTTTCTGTCTGTTCCATGCAGTTACTTATAATCATCCTACCTTTCACAAGCGATCTACAATCTACAGATTTCAGACCAGAATATTATGTGTAGTCAATGTCTTACACGTGTTATGCATGTGCCGTACATATAATCATTCACAGCAAGATAATCCCAGTAATTTAACTAGTGCCGTTTATGAAGGTCCGGCTGAAAAATTTAGTAGATGTAGCTCTAAAAATGCTCGTATATTATATTTAAGAAACCGACTTCACGAATGAAAGTTCATATGTTAAAAGATGTGACATGACGGACACACACAGAGAGAGAGAGAGAGAGATCTTTTACGTATTTTCTAAATTTGGAATCACTGTAAAACTAAAGCTTGCATAGCATTCAGTGATTAAAATTAGCATGGTTACTACACTCATACCAGACCTTGTAAATGTAAGAACAGTAAGTGCTACCTTCTATATAGGATGCTGCGTTATCTATAAAATCAGACTTGATTTTTACCCAAGAGAAGAAATGGCCCCACCCCGGGAGCGGAACTCTTAACCATCTAGCCCATAACAAGGACAGCAGTCATTGAACTGTTCAAGCTAAATATAAACAGTCTAATAAATTTCACAAATGTTAAATCGGTAGGCCTAAGTGCACTAAAAAAGAAACGAATCAATAAGGAAGAACATCTAATGATGGAAACTTATAAACAAAATTATGTAAGAAACAAATAAACACATGTTTAATTACAGAAGGAAGAAAGAATATCGGTGAAGCAAATATATTATTCTTCACTTTAAATAAAGGAAAAATATATGCCCTCTATGGAAGAATCAATATAAAGTACATATATTAATAAATGAAAACTATTAAATACACACAATTAAATAAACTAAACTAATCTATGAAGACATATCAGCTTTGTATCCAATTCTGAAATTTGTAGAATGCTAACTCACTTGGTTTCAGCTATGGACACTCAAGAACTAGCTGACTTTCTTACCCCCACGAACCCAGAACTCCTTCTGCAAGAAAGAAGATTGTGTCCGACTGACCTGTCTGTTCGGTTATGCCAGAGGGCTCTGTCTGCAAATTTCCTTCAAACTTGTCCATCAAGTCTTTCATTGCAGTTGTGACACATCAACTTAATCTTCAAGGTCATTTTAAAGAGACTATTTGAGACCTCTTAGACGCAACCCTCAACAATTATTTACTTCGCCAGATGTTTATGTTTTGTAAGAGACTTTGACTATTATGAATACCATTATCCTTTCAATTTATTGAAGGGAAAACGGGAAGACAATTTTTAATACTACTGACGATGTATGTACGAAATTAGCGACAGAAGTGTTCCATAAATAAGTTCTATTTTCAAACTAAACGCTACAACATATTCAGAGTCGTAGAGATTCTTTCATCAACTTCAGTCGCCGCGAAAGCTTCACTTTATACATGGGCTTAAGAAATTCAAAAAGCTAAAATATTGTTTAGACTTACATATTACAATAACCATTAGTATAAAACAATGTATGAAAATGCATTTAGTCACTACACGCTCACAAAACCGGCATGAGACTGATTAGACCCACATTTATGGAGTGTAATTCACATTATTCTGTTTCCCCGGCTTTATTCCCTCAGGTTCTTTCTGGTAGATCAGATTTATATTACGAAAACCATTTCGTCCTTCCAGTATTTTTACTTATTTGCTTAAGGTACAATTTGGCTGCACGCGACAGAGACAAGCGACCGAGGCAGGCGACAGAGACGGGAGACGGACACATCGCAGCTTGTCGCCACACACTTTTGAGGTGACGACCGAGACATGCGGCAAAGTGTTTGTTTTCTTTGTTTTGTTGAGACATACGTGCACATATTCTGTGAAAAATGAGTACAAAAATGCTTCTAAAAAGGTTAATCGAAGAATAAGAAGAAGATGACGTGTTGCTGTGTGATTTGTTGAGAATGAAACAAAGAAAACATAGGAGTTCAATATTGAAAACCAGACGTGAAGAAGGATCTTTCTGTCTGTTAATAAAGAATCATTTATCATTAGAAGAAGATAATTTGAGGAGTTATTTCAGATTGAATCATAAGCAGTTTGGTTACGCACTGACGTGCTGCCTGAGCCCGTCGCGAGACACTACTGGTCCGAGAGCGGTCTCCTGTGCTTTGTCTCTGTCTCGCGCTCGTAATTGTACTTCATACGATTGTACAGAGAGCAGACAGGAAGCGACCAGTCTCGGTCTCGTAACTCTGTCGCCTGCCTCGGTCGCTTGTCTCTGTCGCGTGCAGCCAAATTGTACCTTTAGTCTCCAGTCTGGTTGCTGTGCGACCTATGTCTACTGCTTGTCGCCCGTTTAATAAATACACCGTAGAATTATATGTGGTTCAGAGCGGTAAATAATAACAAAGGCCTGTGATGTCATAGCCTTTGTTTTAAGATAACGCATTTAATAAGTGTAATTCAGTGTTTGTTTTTCGCAGTGGAATACTTTATTATATCAGTTAAGCAGAAAAGAGATGTCACCGAACAAACACCATACTTCATTATTTCAGCGTAGCCTGTTTTACAAGAAATTCAAGCAAATACTCGTCCGGCCATTAACGTGTGCAATGCATAATGCGTCTTATATCAACCGTTGTTTCTTTGCATGATTATCGCTTAATCCCAGTTATCTCACCGCGTGGCATAAGAGCGATTCAGTCTGACAGAGGTGACAGCTTATCTAAATCTGTCTTTTTCATTAATGACAACACCACACCAAGGGAGACATGCAGGCTTTCAGGGAGGTAAATATGAAAATAACTGTTTCCTGGGAGTGTAGATTAATCTTCCTGATGATGGAGGCACTAAGCACCTTTGAAACGACGGTAAACTTTAACCAGACTTCACGGAAGACAGAAGACAGCCATTTTCAATAAATATTATCAGCAAGTTCCCAATTGAATTTAATAGATCCTTTTCTGCAAGCGGAGAAGAGCTTTTCCATGTATGGGTTATTTTCATTAAACATCACAGACAAACAACGTAGGCTCCAGCTGAGAGGAGACCATCTGGTAATTAATGTCATCTATTTAGATCTACAATAAAACGAAACCGTTTCTGCCTGCACTTGTAAATTATCATCATCGTCTATTAAAGTTTCTACCAAGATGAATCATCTTTCTGGGTACCTTTTTCCATTATTCTGAGATACGACGTTCTGGTGGCAGGTGAAGATGTCGATTGTAATCTTGTGGTTTATAATAACACATAGTCTTGTATATAGTCATCTTAAAATGAACCACACTGCGTAAGAACCTAGAAGACTACAATCGACTCCGTTCTTTACCGTCTATCCCACGTTTTTGTCCTTTTCTTGTCCAATGTCTGTGCCCATCTTTTAGTCCCGTTGCCTACTTACTCTCTTCCAGCAGGATTTGACGTTCACACGGCGGTGAGTCCGAAGATGGCTGTCTTCTGGGTTGTAGCACCGTGTAGTCTGGTAGAAGTTTACCAACGTTTCAGAGGTCATTAGGGCGACAAGACTCATTGCTCTGATGATGGAGGCAGCAAGGACCTTTTAAACGTCTGTAAACTTCTACCAGACTACACGGTGCTACAACCCAGAAGACAGCCATCTTCGGACTCACCGCCGTGTGAACGTCAAATCCTATATAATCTTATATATTTTAGTTTCATTTTAAATTTTGCTTATTCTGTGTTTAACGACGTTGTCAGTAGTTTAGACTATATTTTGAACAAGGAAATAATGGGACGTGGCAACTGTGCGTGGAATCCGTGTAATATGGTGTGTGGCATATCTTCTCATTTGTTGCAGAGACGAAAGTTAATTAGAACACAAGGGAGTAGTCTCCACACTGGCTACAAAATGTAATCGTGACTTTTCGTTTACCATCACATTTCCCCTGTTAATTATCCTTTCAATAACGCTGTTCTTCGAGGCTACAATAAAATATAAATACAGGTGATTCGTTATACGGGATTTTGCTATCAGCATTTTTGCATATGAGCAATTTTATTTCAATATAATGAGAAACATCAATATCTTATCCGCGGCCAAATTTTAAAGCCTATTACCTGTGTCCAGGCCTACCAGAGAATGTGATATAGACGACAAGCTTCGCATCAAATAATTCTGTTGTCAGTTTAATATCAAAATGGCGATTGTTAAAGGTTTTTAATTTTGCGAATTTTAGCTATAAGCGGAGATTCGTAAGAACGAAAACCCCTTGCACTAAGAGATTCACGTGTATAAAATATCTATATGTTACTAAAGTCATGTCCAACTGGTTAGTATTTCTGATTCATATTCGAGAGGTCCCGGATTTAAATCTGATCTTGTAGGTTGACAATTCTGACTGAAATTTTCCTTACTTCCTCAAATTTTCTTGGCAAATCCCAGGAGAGAATCTTTCGTTATGTGTTTGTAATTGTTGTCTGTAGGTGTTAACGTTGTGTTATAAGGTCTATTTCGCTGATACATCATATGGTTCAAAGTGCTTAGCATTGCGAGAACATTTGCTAAAAGTTTCCATCTCATTGGTCGGAAAGAAAGTCATGTTCCTAGCAATAAAGTTAGGTTCATAAAATGCCAACACTGCTTCTATAACGCTGTCGTTTGAGTAAAATGGAACAGAAGCTGTCATCCGATGTTATTATCTTACCAGTAACCAGACTAAAGCCTACTTGGCGAGCGGGATATTCAGAAGCGTCGAAAGAAACAGTTATTACTTTATTTATTTTTGAATTAATTCGCTTATGGTTTAGTTAAGAACGTTGTCATTATCTCAGACTGTTCAGTGTAGAATGGTAGAAGAATCGCTGAGTAACATATTAGAAATATTATGGAAGGAAACGGTCTCGCCATAATATGTTATTAATTAGGCATTTGACTGAAGGAAATGAATAAAAGCACTAAAACTTTGAGAGAGTATGGCCTGCCCTGAGCAGAAGTTTGATTTCAGGATTTTTCGTATATGAAGACTTAGTGTTAAACACTCGACGTTCGGTCTCATTACTTACTTCATTTAAATTTATTAACTTGAATTTATTTACAAATACAAGTAGTTTGAGAAAGATAACCTTTCAGCAGACGTATCAGCAGGACAAAAGCGTATAATTTTAGACACCTCGTACTAATTGTTTTAAAATAACTCTATAATCTAAGTCTCTTATCGTCGTAACAGCAATTCGGTATATTCACTCTCGATAGGACTGCAGGTGTGATCGTGGAAGTATGAAGGTTTCTGATGACGCGCGAAATTGCCTTAAACGCTTTTTTGGACTATATCCGTCGTCAAAATATAAAGATTATAATGTTTTGAAAGCTAGATTGTACTTCAGTTATCAGGAAAGAAAGGACAGAAAAGACTAAAATAAAAACAAGTCCGGATTGAGACAGGCTCGGCCAGGGGCCCAACAGAGAGTTTCTCTGCCTTTATTGTCTGATGACGGAAGCAGAATCGACTTCTCGTTTGTCAGGAGCTCAAAGATCTTACAAGAACCGACCCCAACTTCCTTTCTAAGCTCCGTATGACTTCTTCCTCTTCCCAAAGATGAAAAGTCAGCTAAAGGGAAGGAGATTTGAGACGATAGAAGAGATTCAGGCAGAATCGCAGATGGTGCTTGACAGGCTGACAAAGAAAGATTTCCAGGGATGCTTCCAGGCTTGGCAGCGGCGCTGGGATCGTTGTGTTCACTCCCAGGGGAACTACTTCGAGGGTGATGGATGAATTTAATACCTGAGATAAGTGTACGGGTTTTTATACGCGCAGTCTGGAAACCTTTCGATCGCACCTCGTATTGTCTGATGACGGAAGCAGAATCCAGTTTCCGAAACATTGTAATTTTATAACATTAGACGATCGTCACTGGGAATTAAGTCTGTCCAAAATACCGCTGTATTACAACAGTCCCTCTTGACGAAGTTACAAGTTTCAGGTTTGCCTGGGCGAGATCACGAGTTGCAGTTGCTAGGTGACGAGACTGTACACACATGAGAACTGAGGGATCAATACGCGTTGTTACGCACACAGCTATTGCTGCTGCCAACAATGCACGCACTCAACTATTACCTATTTTCCTTTGT